CCCCCAACTGAATCGCTGGTCTTAGAACCCCAACCATGCAGAAAATTGGAGGTTCCACGGCCTGACAATGGAGTGCATGTGTCAGAGCTGGGCCTTCTCTGTGGCTTAGACAGAACAGAGGACAGCATATCCAGATGCACATGGAAGGTATGGCAGTACATTGGAACCTACAGAGGATACCAGGTACCATAACAGAGGACAGAACAAATTGATCAACTACCCCAGCCAAGTGTTGGAAGTTAATATCTGGGCAAATGGAGACTCTAAGGTAGACTATGTCAACCAGTGAATTCTGGAGAGATTTCATCATGCTTGGAGTGGCAAGATTGGCACCCCTTCTCATATGATCTGGTGATCCAAATGCGTCAGGAATTTCTCTTCACTAGGTCACAGCGCACACACATCTTCAGAGCCTGGACAGGGTCGGGATCTACTCCAGCAGATGATACAAAGGAACCAACCCCATAATTAAACAACTACAATCCCTAACAGCCACAAGCACCTTGCTATTGTCATTGATGGAAAAGGCAGTGGGAGTTAATTTAATCCACATTATTATAGATTGAGGGACATCTAGTGGGCAACAGATAATTAAGAATGAAAAAAACCTAAAGGAGAAACCTAGATTTCTCAAAGATATTGAAGGAATCACATCACCTCTGTTGGCCTGAGTGTTACATGGTGAAAAATAAAACAACTGGAAATGCCTGGCCCGCTTAGCTCTGATGAGAAGAGCATGGCTTTGAAAGCATCTTGGCAGGAAGGGAACGGTGAAAGCGTTATATTTAATAGTGAAAAGCCCCAAGATTAGAGAAGTGTGATGATTTTTGCATGAAGAGCATCAAGCCAGACACACAGAAGAGGATCTGAGATTTGTTATTACAGACAGAAGCTGGGGAAGTCAATTAAGAGGTAAGAGGGAGGAGGAACTGGCGCTCGGGGCAGGGGGTGGTTAGCAAATCTGGCACTGAACTACAAAGAGTGATTCTGAAGAGCCAGCCTTTATAAAGAGCCGTTTGCGGGGATGAGGGGGGTCTTCCCAACACTTCCTGGTGAGGTTCCACTGTCTTTCAGGGCTGACCCAGGAAGGAAGAAGAGATGTAAAAAAAATGTGCTCCTAAATCTAATATTCTACATGCCCAGTTTTCTGCTGGACAAACCCTATTCTGGACCTGATAAGTACTTGGGCTTCTCTGAAAAATTCTCATGTCCTCAAAAGTCAAATGAATGGAGCTTCCATGGTTTTGTGGGGTGATGGCAGCCATCGAAATTAGAATGTTTCTCCATTCATCCTTCATAAACATACAGGTCATCAAATCAAACCAATGACCAGGCTGACCACAGAAGTCACCTCCTGACACTTGCAGGAGCCAGGGCTGGCAGGGCTAGGCCAGAGCAACCAGAGGCACATGCAAAGGTCAGGGACTGAGCGTAGACCATGCCAAGCAAGGCCACCATACCTGCAGGCACCTGTGAGATCCAGGGCTGGGAGCAAGCCAGGCGGGCTGCAGCACCTATTGGAATACATGTGTTACATACAAGAATCAAGTCTGAGATCACCCCAGGCAAGGTTTCTTGGGCAACTCCCCAACTAGATCCCTAGACTCAAATTCCAGCCACAGGGAACAATCACAAGATATATGGTCTGATCTTAGAGTGCATGTATCAGGATTGAGCCTCCTCAGTTGTTCATGTGGGCACAGTTGACAGTATACGCAGATGCACATGGGGGGCATGAAAGCCAGCTCCTTTAGGCCAGCAGAAGACTTGAGTGCCTCATCAGAGGATGGAAACAGAGCAAGCTGGATCACTCTCCTGCTCAAGTTCTGTAGCAAGTGTCTGGGCCTGGGGATTCACTAAGGCAGACTTGACCAACACCTCAGAACTATCAAAACCATTCAAGCAACATCCTCAGGACACTATTCCCCACAGTGGGGTCTCTAAAGCATCATCAAATGACATCCCGGTTGATGTGGTTAGGCTGCTGGGAATGGCCCGCTCCCCTTCTCTCCTCCCTTTTACCAGATACAGAAGGAAAAAAGAAAAAAAAACTGGAACCATTTGTCCCACCCACTTTCCCCTATGCCTCAGTTCTCCCACACTAATCAGTGGTCCACACAGGAATACATCCTTCTCAACTATGTAAATAACATAAAAAAATTAAATAAATTTGTTTAGAAAAACATTTTTAAATGCAAAAGAAATTTGACCTTTAAATATTGAAAATTAACCCATAGTGATCATACTCAAGATTAATCTTACTAAATTTCATAAATAACAAGATTGCTCTCCAGGTTGCTAGTCCCCCAAATCAAGTAATTAATGAAATTTATAAAATCAAGTTGGCATCAACCTTATCCTATATGAGTGCCAGATCAATTTCTGGCTGCTCTGCTTCCAATCCAGCTCCCTGCTAATGCACCTAGTCAAGCAGCAGAAGATGGCCCAAGTGCTCGGGCCTCTGCATTTGGAACCAGCAGATGGAAGATCCCTATCCACACTCCCACCCACACCCGCTCTCTCTGTAACACTGCCTCTCAAAATAACGAATTCTTTAAAAAAAAAATTAGTATTTCATTATATTTAATACAGTGCTTGGACAATTACTCCTCTAAATTTTTTTATTCTAATTTGCAACGACCATTTATTTTTTTTTTCTAAATTACCAATAGCATCATGAAAGAGATCCTTTCTGTATTTTACGCACAGCCACATTCTGCAGACAGCAAAGGAAAAATCTGGGCAATATTGCTGAATTTTGCTCCAGGAAAACAGTCCATTTGTACTCCCTCTAGCTGCATGTGGGAAATAACAAGAACTGTTTTCTGATTCAAAACAGGGCTCCCGTTTGGACAGGTGCAGGGAGATCTCCCAGGAACAATCATTAAACAGTGATTTTATTCTGTCCCTTCCCACCCAACACTCACAGGATGTTTCTAAAAGTCTGTAAACAAATGAAATTATTAGATCTGTTCATTTGCCACAATAAAAATTTTAATTCATGCATAATTTCTTGTGACTTGCATTCTCTGTGTATTGTTTAAAATCTTTCATTATGACTCAATTCCCAGGAATGTTAAAGAGGAGAACGACATGCAGTACCTCACACAGGAAGTAATTACCAGGTATTTCCTTTCCCTTCTAGTTGTTTGGACTCAGTCGCATTTCTTGCCTTACATTCTCTTAGGAATCAATGTTGCCTTTCTTACTAGGAACCCCTTGCAGGAAGGGACAGTTGTTACGATACCAAAGGTACAGCCACTTTGATTTCCAGAGTTCACAAACAAGCCCACTTCTGACTCATCCATGCTTTCACCATCTCTGTACAACCCCGTTCATTCACTCAACTCCTCAGACTTCTGCCATCCTGGTAAAAGTCCTGCTGTTTTCCCAGGCAGTTCTGTGTTAAGTCCCATTGTCTCCCTAATCAACAGAGCCTCTTTCCCTGGTGCTGTTGGTTGACCTGCCCCCCTGTTCAACCAGGGCTGCTGTGTCACAGTTATCATTTGTCAAGGCCCAACCAACCCCGTCCTGCCGAGCCAGTGAATCATAAAGCGCTGGTGACTCAGTGTTTTCTCCTCTTGTGAATATAATGGGAACGACTCTTCACAGAGTCACAGCTTTCACTGTCACCAACAAAATTCCCTGAAATTGGCTGATGAACAGTTTGTTACACAGAAAGGTCACACAAAGCTGAAAAACAGAAAGTCAGAAACCACTTAACAGGGGATACCGGACGGAGTAAATGAGACCGATGTGTCATTTTTGTTTTAGTTAAATTGAAGTACTCTCTGTACCCAAATGACATGCAATGATTGCAATAATACGTGATTTACTAACCTGAAATTGGGACTGGATGGGGTGAAAATAACAAAAGCCTATTTGATGTGATTTTAATCTTTTACTCACTAAGAAGAATGACACACACACAAAAGCAGTATCTCATAGTTTCGTGTTTATGAAATAGTCAATTTTGTAGATTTCCACAGCTAACGAATATGCTCTTCTTTGTTCTACAAATTTGGATAATCCATAAAAAAAAAAAAAGCAGTTCACTAAAGCTGTGTTGTGATATGTCACATACTTGGTGTTTGTCCCAGATTCCTGACACACAAGTTTTCCCTAAAACACTCAGAGTTTCCTGAATGAATGAGGTGCCCCCTATTATCCACAAGAAGCCCCTTTGGATCATACCCAAGTTAATACCCAGACAGCAACTTGGAATTTAGCCATCATGCTGTGTCCCAAAGGGGTTGTAACTTTCAGTCCCACATACTGCATCTGGGAAGAGGTGAGGAAGCCTGGAGACAAAACTTTTGGAAAGCTCCCGAATAACAAGCTTGCTGACTATGTGGCGATGGGGCCATCCAGCAAAGGCAGGAGGACTCTACACCCCATGTCCCATACCCTGCTCTAAGCAGCTCTACCATCAGCTGCTCCCAAGTTGCACCTTCACACCAACCAGTAAATGAGAGTGCAATGCTTCCCTGAGTTCTGTGAGCCACTCTTATCATTTTATTGAGCCTGAGGATAGAGTCTTGGAAATTCCTCAATTTACAGCTGGTTGGTCAGAAGTACTGCAAGTTCAGCCATGACTGGCATCTGAAAAGGGGACACTCATGAGAAACCAGCCCTTAATTCATGGGATCTGAGGCTGCCTTCAGCTAGTGTCAAAATTGAGTTCAATGATAAGACACTCAGCTAAGAGAGAACTGCTTGAAGTAGAAAAAAAAAAAAATCCACACATCCAGTCAGAAACATTCCATGTAAATGTCAAGAAATGGTTTATCTTCCCAGAGAAGCTTCACATGTGAACACAGCATTGTGTTAGATACAGGGAGGTGCAGTGTGTAACTGCTTTGTAAATGCAGATAATTAGTTGAGCCCAAAATTCAGGTACATATTTGTCATTCAATATTTTGTAGTGTCTATCGTGCAACAGGTGCACTGGGGTTAAATCAAGACGCAGAGAGGATGCCTCACACACTCTGCCGGCTTACCTTGAGATGCGCCCCATTTCAGCATCACATTACAGAGGAGTTGGAATGGCCCACACCTTTCTAAAACTCTTCTGTATTTTTTTCTGAACAACAATGGGGGAAACGTTGCCATCCTGTTGGACCAATGAGTAAACTAAGAATCAGAGATATTAAGTTATTTGCTCCATGAGCTGAAACTAGCAAACACCAGGGCTGGGATTTTATTCTGTACCCTGTTGTCATAAATTGAAACTCTTTTTAGATCATCCAATTCCATATTGTCCTAAGAAAATGCTCTTAAGATTTCCTTAGATCCAAGCTGAAGCTAGCTCTTCCTTCTGACTTCAGAATTTACCACCTTGGGGATGAAATCAGAGGTGAGATTTTTTTACTAGACAGACTTGTTCTGTGTGGGGAGACATGGAAACAGAATGGCACAGTCACTGTTAGTATGAATCAAAGTTGGTGCAATAATTGAGTTCATGTGACAAGTTGATCAGGCTAGGCAATATCCAGATACTTGCTCAAAACTTCTGGGTGTTCCTGTGAGCATCTTTTTGGATGGGCTCAACATCTGGAGAGTAGAACAACCAAGGCCGATCACCCCTCTTACTGGGAACAGAACTCTTGCAATCTGTTAAAGGCCTGAAACGGATAAGGAGGTTGGTCTCTCCTGAATGACAATAAACTCTTCCTGCCTGACATCCCATAAGCAGGGCAAAGCTGGTTGGCTTTTTTTTCTGCTTTCAAACTAAAATATTAGCCCTTGCTGGCCCTCCAGCCTGCCAGGTCAGGAGTAGAACCACGCCACAGGTTCTCCTGCACCTCAGGTCTTCAGACCCAGACTGGAAGAACACCTACTCTTAACTCTCCTGTGTCTCTAGCTTGCTAGCTCACTCTGGGATCCTGGGACATGTCAGCCTCCAAAGTCATGTCAGTGAGCCTATTCTTCCTATAAATCTTTGCATACGGGCCCGGCGCGGTGGCGCAAGTGGTTAAGTCCTCGCCTAGCACGCCCAGGATCCCATATGGGCGCCAGTTCTAATCCCGGCAGCCCCGCTTCCCTTCCAGCTCCCTGCCTGTGGCCCGGGAAAGCAGTCGAGGACAGCCCAAAGCTTTGGGGGCCTGCACCCGCGTGGGAGACCTGGAGGAGGCTCCTGGCTTCGGATCGGCATAGCATCGGCCCGTTGCGCTCACTTGGGGAGTGAATCATCGGATGGAAGATCTTCCTCTCTGTCTCTCCTCTCTGTATATCCGCCTTTCCAATAAAAAATAATAAAAATAAATCTTTAAAAAAAAAAAAAATCTTTGCATACACAGGAGATTTTCAAAAGTGTCATGAAAATGCATAGTATAAAAAAACTACATATGAAATTTGAAGCTTTTTATACCAACATGAACTTAATTTTTAAGTTCCATTCTCCATGAGCTTTCTGAAGAACCCATATGTGTGTGCATATGTGTGTGAGGACCCTAATACAGAGAGGCTCAAAATGAGATGAACACAAAATGAGCCATTCAGACAGCTAAGACAGTGCTATGTATTGCTGTTCAATAGAATTTTGTGATGACAGTAACATTTCACATCTACAGTCCAGCGTGGTAACCCCAAACACATATGGCTATCGAGCAACTGAAATGGCTAACGACTGAGGAATTGAGTGCCAAAAAACAATTTAAGGAATTCAAATGTAGATTGAAATAGCTACATGGGACAAGTGCCTATTACCTGGGACCAATCTAGAATTTTATCCCTCTATATTAAATATCTACATCACTCTGTGTATGCAAACATGTGCATGTGTTTGCACATGTGTGACTGCATGTATATATGAAATGCTCACCTGTATTTATAACTACAGGCAGAAAGAGAGAAACAGATAGGTGGGCATGGCCATCATTTATTTTCTACCTTCCCCTCTACACTGTAAGATCCTTTAGATGAGGAAAGTCATCTAACTCGCTCCCCACTCTCTTCTTAGCCCTAAGAACAGAACCTAGAAGGAAATTGGGTCTTCATTTTTGTTGAATTGAATAATTTCCCACATACAGAGATATTTAATAGTAACCTTAGGGAAAAATACTTTCAAAGTCTAAAAATTTACATTGTTCTATGAATTGTTTTAAACTATCAATGGCTACATGTTGCATATTTTTCATCTCTACTGACATTGCATGATGGAGCCATCCTCTGATTTTTAAGTAAGCCAAATGTTGGGATCTTCAGATAGGAGATGGACTTCTCAGCGCTGCAGGATCTGAGCTGAGAAAACATTTGAGCAAGCAATGAAGAATCAGGAGCAGACAGAAGAACACGTGAATCCAAAATAAATGGGTCATAAAAGAGAGATTTATGCACAAGCCTGAACCCTGTGTGCTAACTTGAAACAAGTCTGAGATGCTGCTCTGCTTTGCCAGCTGGGGTTTCCCTGGTCCCTGCTCCTTGGCCAGGAACCTCAAAGCTCTCTGGTGGGTCTCCAGAGAGAAATGATCACAAGCTGTGATGTCTTCATAAACAGAAAATCGACCCCAACTGACACAGGTGCACCAGATCTGGAAGCAGCCCATGGGACTCATGGACTGGCTCCCCTGGGGAAGGGAGAAGGAACCTAGGGCAGCCCACCTGCTGAGAACACACTCCCACCGCCCTGCCCCCAAAATCCTTCTGTAGATTCTCACAGACTGAGAAAGAGGCTCTCTCCTCCCAGGATTTCTTACTCTCTATCCCAGCAAGGGAAGGACAGCACAGGATCGGGCCACCACTGCATGTCTTCCTTTGCTTTCCCCTGTCCTCTGTCCCAGGGGCTTGCAGAGCTGCCACCCTTGTCCTCTCTCCAGACCAGGAGCTCTGGCGGGGGAGTGGGGTGTGGAGCACCCTGTGAGGCTGTAAGGGTCCTGGAGGAGCCTCTTTCTCTGTATGACTCCCAAAGGGGGCACTAGTCAATGGGCAGGTGTTCTGAGCACAAAGAGGGATGCAGCAAGTCAGTCCCCCATTCGCTAGCTCCACCCCAAGGAGGGTTCTCCCCAGCTGACTGTAGACCACAGTATGGGAATTTTAAAATGTTTTTGATTACCATGTAATACTTGTACATTTTTATGAAGTTTTACACAGTATTCCTACACTTTCTCCTCCAGTTCTGATTCATTTTTTTTCAAATGCACTCTTACCACCCTCATCCTACCCACCATCAGTGATACCTCTTAGATCAGAGTGCCAACCTCTGGTCAGGTGTACATGGCACCTGCCGTGCTTCAGTAGCTACACAAAGCACTTAAGATACAAACTTAGATACAAATATTCCTCATCCGAAAGTTATAGAAACGTAAGCTCAGAGGTTAAACTAGCTTGTCCTTCTTCACGCAGATGAGGAGCAAGATCCCATTTAAACCCAGATCTGGCCGATTCAAAAGCAAACACACACCACACTTCTTAGCATGTGGTTCCAGTAAGCTACCCAGCAGTACACTTCCTCTGCCTCGGTGGGTCAGAGTTGGTTGGTAGTTGTGGAGCTTCTCATTAAGTCAGTCATGAGGCTGTCTGGCTGTAGCATGATCTTCAAACGTACATATCCACTCACTGCTGATGTTGGCAAAGATAATGATCATCCGTGGTCCAGGCAGCAGGCTGGTGACATTTTTAAGGAGAAGGTCTACAATTTTAATATCAGTGCTGAATGCAAACTTCCTGAAGTCATCCATGTTTAGGGTAATAACACACTTCCCACTCAGGAATGGGGCAGATGCACACTGGATTGGAAAGGAGATAGACAAGCACTTTCTTCCAGTTAAGATAATCTATTTTTGTTTATACTGCTAGTGTTCAATTGTTTGTGTTTTTGAATTTTAAATAAGTGGTGAGTTTTTCTGGAAGGTATTCCGTTTATAATTATTATTTCATCTATCTTAGAGGATCTGGGTTATCAGTTTGGTATAGGATTTTTGAGATAGTAGCCTCCAACTTTCCTCTCTTGGGGACAGATTTTTTTTTTAAAGATTTTATTTTTTATTATTTTTTTTATTGGAAAGGCGGATATACAGAGAGGAGAGACAGAGAGGAAGATCTTCCGTCCGATGATTCACTCCCCAAGTGAGCACAACGGGACCGATACTATGCCGATCCGAAGCCAGGAGCCTCCTCTGGGTCTCCCACTCGGGTGCAGGGTCCCAAAGCTTTGGGCTGTCCTCGACTGCTTTCCCGGGCCACAGGCAGGGAGCTGGAAGGGAAGCGGGGCTGCCGGGATTAGAACCGGCGCCCATATGGGATCCCGGGCGTGCAAGGCGAGGACCTTTAACCACTTGCGCCACCGTGCTGGGCCCGGGACAGATTTTTGTATCAGCATCAAGCTGCCTTAATCAATGGTTAGAAGGTGAAGTATTGCTTCTTTTTTTTTTCTTTTTCTATTCTCAGGGAAGAAATATCTGTGAAATATCAATGCTATTTCTTCCTGTGAAGTTTAGGAGAACTTAGCAGTGGAACCATCTGGGCTTTGGTGGTTGGTATTTGCATGGTGTATCTCTACCCACTCCTGTCCCCATCTTTTTCCTTCCAATATTTCTGTGTCCTTAAATGAAGTGAATCTCTTGTAAACAACATACAGTTGGTTTCTTATTTTTACCGAGTCTGATTCTTTTATATAAGTCACTTGATGTTTTTGCCTTTAAATATGAAATAAATCTATAAATCATACCAGTTCTTTAAAAAATGAACTACTTCCAAATTTCATTACTTCGTGCCTTCTGTGTGAGTAAATCTTTTTATCTTCCTTTTCCTTCCTTTAGCTTATTAGTTACAAATTTTCATTTTTATGACCTTAACGATGTGCTGGGGACTTCAATGTTCATTCTGGACTTACTTCTCAAGTAATTGCTTTTCCTATTTCGCCAACAATGGTAGACAATGACAGCAGTTGAACTCCACGTACAACTGTTGTGTATTGTTTCTGTGCATTTTTAATTCCAAAGATGTTCCTGTTCTCACCACACTATTTGCTTTTGCACAGTTGAGATTCAGTCAGGCGAGCATACTTATTTCCCCTTTCTGATGATTTTCATCTCATTGTATTT